AAGGAAAATTAAATTAAAACTATTTTTATATTATAAACGTTATATAATAAAAAATAAATATAATAATGCTAATTAAATATTTATATTTTATTTATAATAGGTTATAAGCATAAAATATTAAAAGTTTTAATTTTAAATTCAAGGAAATATGCTTATCTTTATAAATACTTATAATATAAGTTTAAAACTTAAATATATTATATTTAAAACTTAAAAATATATATATAATGATTTTAATCTTTAATAAATATTAATATTATATTTTTTATAAATTTTTAAAATACGTTTTATTTTAAAGTTTTAAAATAAATTAAAAAATTATAAAACGTATTATTTTAAAGCTAAAATTAAATTTAATACTTTTATTATACGTATAATTAAGTATAATTAAAGTTATTTTATTAATATAAATTTTATTTATTTATTTATTAAATTTATAAAATAAAATTTGTATTTTTTAAAAAGTATATATTAAAATAAGTTATTATAGCTTAACTAAAAATAATAATATTAAAATAATTATAATATTTATTATGTTATTTATAAAAGATATTAAAATAAGTTTCTCCTTATTTTTACCATTTTTTGTTAATTAATTATAAAAGATTGAAAAATCACTGTTTTGCGGGGAATCCTGTTGCAAAAGGGGGTGCGTTGCATAAGTGGGTCCGACTGGTTAGTATATTTATAGGCGCTGGCTCGGCCCAAGTCATCGCTAAGCCGAGTGACCAGCCGGCGTGTGTAATACAATGCCGATTGGCCCAGTTTGAGCTTCATGTCATTGCAGCGGTCAATGAATGATAGTTTCCCGACACAAGCTACCAAATTCGCTAGCATTTGTGCAATTTGATCCGTCTTCATCGAAACACCCCTAGAGCCATTTTTGGTCGCCAATGTACAACTCTAAGCTTTATAGAGAAAGCTTTTCTTATCCTCCAAGATATGAATTATTTTGCTATGAACGGTCCCAAGACTCGAAATGGAAGCAGGGCAGCTGGATCAATCCCGAGCCTACTTCCTGGATACATCCAGGGAGGAGTTGTCCAGACAAAAAAGGCTACAACCCAGAGATAGCCCAACGGGCGAGAAAGAGACCGAGGTAATATTCCAGAGATGAGAGGTTGCACAGCATCCTCCAATATGATGATGGCGCTGTGCATCATGAAGAATACAAGGGCACCATTTTCCTTGTCTGGTACGCCCATTAGTTGCTCTGCGCGGTAGTGAATTGCACCGGAGATTAAGAAAGCAACCGTCTGCCGCACATATCGGGACATGGCAGATTGACGCGAGAATGGCAACACAGCATCAATAATCAGTTTGGCATGACCAGTCAGAAAGATGCGGAACATCTGATGCCAGGAGATTCTGCAACATGAAGTTAGCATCAAGCATTGGGGCAGGGAGCATGTCTCGGGGCAAGGGATTTGATGAGTGGACTGACCCCCAAAAACGACGAACCGAGTAGGCGTCGGCGAAGGATCCGTACAAGGGTGGGCATTCGGTGGGTCTGCTCAGTCCAGTGGCAACAGAGATAATGGCGCCAACGTTCGCCATGCAGAGGTTGAGTAGGCCCGTCATGAGAAAATACGAGGCCGTCATAATGGCTCGGAATATAAGATCCTCCAAGGACAATCCGTGCGGAGGAAATAGGGCGGCCTTGTCGACGTGTACCATTGCTGGGTCAGCCGGAGGCAATGAGACGACAATATCGACAAACAGGTAGGCGGATATCGTGACAGCAAAACGTCGTAGAATGAAATCGACGCGACCTTGCTTTTGCAGGCCTTTGACAGAGGGCACATTCTTGACCTGCCACTGGGTGCCATTGCGCCGCATGTTCCAGAGTAGACCAGTGACCGACCTGGCCCGGGCGAGAGCGGATCGGTGTCTAGGAGCCACTTGAGCCATCTGAACTCGAGACACCACTATGATTTTCGAGGCACTGAGGAATTGCACCCAAAGCAGCGAAGCTGCGGTTGCAGCCCAGTGAGGTCGAGACCTGCACAGAGGTACAATCGAGTTTTCCATCGCATATGTCAATGCGGCCAGCAGCATCACAGCGCAAGCACGCTTGAATATGGCCTGTGGAATGGTGCCGAGGATGGCGACAAAGAAGGCGAGGAACGCCGCCTCGATGCCGAAAGATCTCAGCATTAGTGCGGAGCGATCGATCCCTGAGTGAGCAAATTGCATTTTGGTGTTCAACATGAGAAAATCAGGGCAGGGAGAATTTCTTGAGTAGGCAGATCACGGATGCGTTTGAGGCAAAGAGGAAAGGGAGCCATGAAATAGAGGTTGGTTGATGCTTGCCTCTAATTTGCGTTGGAACATTGTTTGCTGTTGGGTCTCCTATACGCCGTATAGGGCTTAGTTTGTAATGGCGACAAGGGCAGAAATGGGAATTGCGCCGCGTGGATGCTGGTATTTACGCTACTATATACACTACTGTTAGTCCCGCCTGTAATGTGGATCAAGGACCTCTTTGTCCACCAACATGAATTAAAGTAGCCCTCATGCTGTGATGAATGCCAAGACTAGTCTAGATGAATAATCGTACATGGTTGAAATCCTTCAGCTCTGCCCTTGTTCCCAGCCCAACCTTGTTATGATGCATTTGATAATCAATGATATGGATTCCCCCACGCACATACCCTGCCCGCGTCTTTATCAGGTATGTCCATCTTGTGACCCAACTTGCGGCGCAGTTCATTAGAGCTTGCTATCATTGGTGGTGAGAAGAGTTCACCCTCGATCGATGCTGAGGGCATCAGAAGCCCTCACTCTTTCCTATCAACATCAAACTTGCTCGTATTTGGACGCGGCCGCAACTCGTGTCCAGGTCGTTACCTGGTAGATTTCCAGCCCAAGATGCTCATCTCCTACCTCTTCACAAACTATGACGTAAAATTCTCAGAGACGAATAGGCTGACGAATAAGTGGCTTTTGGAATTCATCTTCCCGCCAAAAGGGGTAAAAATAATGGTTAAGCGCCGAGCCAAGGCATGTTGATATTAGTCTGGGTGAAAGGTTTATTGAACGAAGTCATATGAAAGTGAAAAGTTTAAGGTGTTGCAGACACTAAAGACTCATGTTCAGTGCATTAGATTGGTAGGATTGAAAGAAGAAACCCAGTTCAAAAATTAGATGGTTCTTTGGAGACCTGTATCCAAATAACAACATTTCTTTTGTACAGTTTACGACCAAACGTATTCACTTCAATTCTGTCACCTTCTCACTTGAATCTTGAATTATGAGTCAGCCAAGATGGAACCGTTAGATGTTGTTGGTTCTGCATCCCAAAACGGTGTTATTTCCAGCTTCCATGCATTTGCATCAGCTGTTTCGCCCAGTCTGCACTAAATATTGGTTTTAGCTGCCTGGCTACCATCTGGCGATTCCCCAAAAGACCAGACCACGCAGATCACCGATTGCTAACACCTGTCATGTCTATGACATACAGTTGCGCTTTTTTAATCAGGACCTTTGCTTCTCTTGCCTCTCGGCAAGCGAGTCTGCCCATGCAATGGCTCCAATGAACGCACCTGCTGCGGTGCACAATAGACTAATAAATAAAAGAAACCCCAAATGAAATTGCCAATCGGGCCATAGCAGAACGGATGTCAGCGTCATTGGACCAGCTGTCCAAAAGAAATATTTCATCCAGTCTACCACAGCGCGCAATCAGAAAGGCTGAAATGATCATACGGTACGGAGGGTAACTTACAGCGAGCCTCCCGAAGAGTCGATCCCCGGCATGCACAAACGAAGAAATAGATTGACAGGGTAACAGAAATGGCCAAGAATCCTATAAAATTGTTAATCTTGCTCAGAGTTCAAGCTCGACACAATGAACCATACCTGACCGTAGCAGTGCGTCGTAAGAGTTCCACCAGTCTTCGCGAATATCATCTTGTACTATACGATGTAGGACAGGCCCTAATTCCTGGCCAAAAACTTTGCCAAGATTCTCGGATGAAGCTGCGTAGAGTTCATATGATCGTCGAACAGGCCATTTTGCGGCTACTTCGTCTGCAAAGGTAGAAGTTGTATCCAGCCTGGTGATGAGGGTCTGACGAATGTAGTCACGGACCGCGTTTGGGTTAGGCTGTTGCGGCAGTCTCCGAGGAGCGTTCAAATTGAAGATTGGCAGAGTCATTCTGATGAAGTTTGTCTTGGGAGATGGTGAGAACGGCTGAGCCCTAGTTCACAAAGAAGCGCCCGAGTTCATGTCCTGGTTAAATATGTAGCCACCACCGCGTGAAGTGGCAGCTGAGTTGAATGGGTCCGAGGGATTAACCGAAAGGAATGAACGTTTGTTGGCTCGGGCCAAAGAAGTGTAGATAGATACTAGCTAGGATCCTTCTGCCTAGATCCGCATTTGTTGGTTGTTTGCATGCAAGCAATGTAGCTGGTACAAGGATTACTCGGATATGGATATAAGTAGCCCTCGTGGCTATTATAGTATACAGGGTACATATATGGAGTCTCAATACCTAGGTAAGTCACTGTACAGACATATTGAGATAGATCGTATGAGCAAGCTGTGGACCGGGCCGACGATGACCTTTTACGAGGAAAGATGGGTCCCGGATCCCGGCACTCATCCCTGCCACACTACACTTTTAGCGGAGGCCGCCAGTGAGACAACAAATACGGACACCTGCTAAATATTGGATAGCGGATTATACATACCAAGGTGTGCTATAATACAATAATGAACGGTATCATGTCTAAATTGTTGAGATGAACGAGGTTATGGTGAGTGAAGTGATTGATGAGTTGGTTGAGTATCTGTACGTATCTATGGGAGTAGAGAAAGGTATATGTATCTAGTCTATAGTGGAGCGTGAAGCCCGAAAAGAAGGAGGCTGGGCTCCTATTTCAACATAAATAAATACACAGACTTTTGATGATTAGCCAGGACCATTTATACATAAGGAAGCCACAACTCCTCCCATTGCCCAATGCCGCTAAATTCCTCGCCGTGGAAAAAGACATTGGCAGTGCCAACATATCGGTGAGCCAAAGCCGCATCATTCAAAATGCCAACATTGGTTACTGTCATTGTGAAAAGCTCCTTCTGCTCTCCAATCTCCATCTCGATGGTGTAGCCACTTGGCCAGCTTTCGTCGTCGCCCCGGGGATAGGCCGTGTCAAGAGGTCGGACGGTAATGGACTCGGCACCGCAAGCGCTGTGAAGTATCTGACCATCCTTGGCCAAATAACCGCTGTAGTGTGTATCATTGGATGGGGCCAACACCTCAAACCAAACCACGCTGTACGCACCCGCGCGCGCATGTCCCCAGTACCATGAGTTGAATGTACTCGGGAAAAGCTGACTGCCCCAGTTCTAAAGACGCAGAATAGTCAGATGAAAGCTCATGCGAATGGAACAAGAATGCATACCTTGTCATGATATCCAACACCGCTATACTTGACAGGACCCGTAGTGGTCACGAGATCAACGCTTATGTCAGCATCAGGCAGAGGGTTCGTCCACCCAATACTGGGCGCCACAAGGAGATCACTACCAGTTTGGATAGGTCCGCAAGGATTGTGTGCTGGTGCAACCGACTTGAAAGAGATGGTCCCGTTGACTTGCGGCGCGTTGACACTTATAGTGTATGTTCCCATGTTGGCTGTAGCAACCCAACTGCCTCCCGTGCCTGTCCAGACGGCTTTGGAGGAACCATCGGATCCTGTGGTGATGATGGCGCCATCATCCTCGGCCCATGCAACGTAATTCAAGTATTCGCCATTCTCAAGCAGCCCAGAAATCGAAAAGTATGGGACGGTTTCGTTGTTTCCTCCGAGCAGACCTGAGCTCAATCCTGCGTTGAATAAGATGGCAAGCCCCTGATCACCACCCCGAGAAACGGTGTCAAAGTACCACCAATCAAAAGAGCTGCTGTTGATGGCTGACAGCTTGGGGGCATCAGGCACTGCGTTGGTCGATGTAAACTCGACATCAACAGCGCCGGTAGCTGCAGCCAAGGGAATGGCATAAGTAGTCGAACTATTGCCGCCGCACTTGGCTGCTGACCCAGACCCGAGGGCGGTTGCGCCCAGGAGCACTGATATTGCTGAAACGTAGCGAGCCATTGGATCAGGAAGAAGTGTATGCAAGGGCCTTTGAAATGAAATGAGCGGAGATATAGATCATGCTTGTGGTGCGGTCTTGCGACTCATTATATACCCATTCCTGAAAATACTTGAGAATCGAATGGCCTGCTGGATCCGGGTAATTCAGAAGCTTACCGTCGTTGAATCTGCTTGAACAATTTGACCCGAGAACTTCGGGTCCATAACCGAGTGAATATTGCAATCAATTCGGGAGCGGTGCCACGGGACAGTGTCAATTGCCTGGGACCAGTGCGTGCGGCTAGTAAACAGGGCCAACTCGATTTGTAGAATTACAATTTCGCTATAGAAAGCCCCGCAAAATGGACAGTTGGCTGCCCAATCGCATTAGTGCGCTCCCCAAGCGAGCCAAGCGAAGGCCAAAATTGCTAGCACGCCTGGACCTTGTGGGTGCGATAGAGGATAACTGTACCTCCTAAATAAATGACTATCAGCCTCTGCTACGAGCCTTTCCACCTTTTCGCATCGCAACCGAAATGCGTATGAATCCGACCCAGCCGCCATGTTGCCCAAGCGTAAGCACACAAAGTCCCGCAAAGGCTGTCTTGGCTGCAAACGCAGAAAAGTAAAGGTCTGCTTTCATGTTGTCTTTCTACACGGTCTTGCCGGAGCTGTGCATTGACCCGTGTTTAGTGCGATGAACAGCACCCCACCTGTTCAAAGTGTCGACGGAGCGGCATCACCTGCAGCTTTGAAGCGTCGTCTCTGCCTTCAAACAAAACAGGTCCTTTTCTGGAGTATCGTCGCGATGGCACCACGGCAGCGCACGGGCAGGATGGGTCCCTTGACTGGTCAGCAATCTTGGGAGGGCTTGACGCTGCCTCGAGATCGTTTTCGGAAACACTCCACATCCGGGAATTCGAGCTGATGCACCACTATTGCAACATGACGGCTTCTTCCTTGTCCTTGCGGGACGATATTCGTCATGTGTGGTTGGCTGTCATCCCGCGGAGTGGCTATCAGGTTGGCTACGTTAGACGAGGAATACTGTCTCTTGCTGCTATACACAAGGCCTTTCTCACGCCAAACAGCCGACAAGAATACCTGACCATGGCAGCTTTTCTCCAGGCCGAGGCGTTGAGGGAGTTTCGAGCAACTCTTTCAACCCCCACCTCGAGCAATTGGAGGCCAATATATTGTTTTGCCTCGATCGTCGTTGTCTTTGTTTACTCTCTACCAACTCGATCTGAAAATGAACGTTTAATAGAGCCAATTGCTGATATTTTGGAACTGTTCAACGTTATACGCGGGCTGCAAGCACTGCTGGACCCATTCCTCCCGCGTCTTATAAACACCGAGTTCGCTCCCATGGTTCAAGGTATCTGGGGCGTTGACGTCGACGACAGCAGGTGAGAAACTTTGCTATAAATATTACTTTGCTACTTTGTTACCTTGGAACAGCGTGTTCTAATTAATTATTCAGCCTGCCATCACTTGCCAGCTCTCTGCTTCCTTTGGATACATTCTCGGCTCTTACGCGCTTGCGTGCAGCCTTTTCAGCTCAACTACATGAAGACAATTTAATGCGTTACAATAAATGTATCGACGGTCTTGAAATGTGCGCTAGGATCCTGGCTTCTGCTGGGACACACGTTGAGCCTGGCATGGTCCTCTTGTGGGCTTGCTCACTCGATGGGCTAATGTTGACAGACATACGAAACCGTGAAGATCATGCTCTGGTGCTACTGTCTTACTACACCATCTTCCTAAAGGTACCAGAGAGGATGCACTGGGCTGCAAAAGGGTGGGCAGTACCTTTGTTCAAAGATATCGAAATGTGCGTATCACATCGAGAAGAAACAATGCTGATGCTGCAATGGCCCAGGGCGCACATCTAAGCGCATTTCGGCCTCTACTGGTGCTGTAGTAATTAGATTAAATTCGGTGCGTTGACCAACTTGCTCCTCTAAATGGAAATGTTTAGTTATTCTCATATTCAAGCCCAGCTCTCATTCTTGCTGCACCATAAATTGCAGCAACATCTCCCTTTGCTCCACCAGCATGTTCAGCAACCTCTTCAAGATACTGTTTAGCCGTAGTAGCATTCTTGACTTCCATCCCGGCTGTCTTGGCCAAGTCCTCAGCGTGGCTTGCGTCCTTGATCGCATTGTCTGCCGAGAATAACGGCTCTTCCATACTATGGTATGCGCCGCTGAGCATCCTTTCACCATATGCACTGTAAGGGCCTCCAAAGAGTCCATCAACAAACTTCTTGACCCTCGCAGCGCCGACTCCTGTCTTTTCGGCCAATGTAAAACCCTCGCCTAGCTGAGTGACCATGTTCAAGACAAATGTGTTGCCAATAATCTTCAATGTAGATGCCGTGCCGTATGGCTCATCTTCCATGGGCAGCTCAGCCTTACCCATGACGCCCGTGGTGTAGGGTCGAAGCCTTTCAACGGCAGCTTTGGGGCCGGCAGGCACAAAGATCAATTGCCCTGCGTCGGCCATTGGCGGTGCCCCAAAGACCGGGCTAGCGACGAAGTCGGCGCCAGCATCTGTGACAATCTTTGCGACTTTCTCTGTAGAATCGGGATGGATGGTGGAGCAGTCGGCAAATAGCTTTCCGTTGATATTGCCGAGCGCCGAGATGGTCCTATAGACGTCTTCGACGGCCTGGTCATTGCTCAGGCAAGTGAAGATGATGTCGGCTTGCTTGACGCCTTCTTCAATTGATGAAACCGCCTTGACCTTGCTGCCTAGCTTGACAGCCAAGTCGGCGGACCGTTTGGAAGACCGGTTGTACACCAATAGAGGCGAACCACCAAGTGGCCCCTTTTCGACAAGGTTCTTGCACATGCCCTATATTCATTAATAAAGGCATGGTGTTTTGTGCGCTTTTAACTTACCCTGCCCATATTGCCGAGGCCAATCCAGAACAATTGGGAAGCCATTTTGACGGCAAGTAGTTATAAGTACTAGATATAAAACGAGATGAAAAAAATAACGAATAAAGGTTTCAGCCAAGAATTTGCCTGAATTGCTTCAGGTACCAAATTCGACCAAAATATATAGGTAATAGAAAGGTGAAACCTAGGTAAACGAGTATTCGGCAGCTTAATGACGTATATTCCTGTCGGCCGAGGCTGATTAGCAAGCTGTCGGAACTTCCGAAGCTTCCCCACTCAGTCTTGGAGAAGATGAGTAATACACTGTATTGGATACCCAAGTAGGTATAGAGGGAACATTGACGTCGGATCGCAAACTGGTTATGTGATTTTCTCACCTGAGCCAATATGTGAAGGGAATATGAAATTGAGGAAACCTTGGAAAGAAGTCTGAGTTGATCCTACAGATCTACAAGAAAGAGGTGCTGAAGAGCTATCTAATATACCCGAGCAGGTGATCTGCAGTGGGTACTGACTACGTCAGTGAAACAGGTTTGCACAAAGTCAACTGCTCTAGAGGTTTCTCATAAACTTGCCGTCTGTACGCCGTTGAGCGCATGCAACACATGTAGTTCACTTTAGTCCCACGTCAACGCCCGAGCGAAGATTGTCATGATCAAATGAGAGACTCTTTTCAACAAGAGCCGTGGACTGGCCAATTCTGTTGTCATGGAAATCGATGTTTATTTAACCCGACCATCGATGGGATAATTTATGAAGTCTCAGCGATATTGTATACAAGCTTTTCGCCGCTAACCTTGTCTTGCCTCATGAGCTCCAAGCCCTCTAGCACCCCGTTCAAACCACCTGGGTTGACCTTGACATTGTGGACCTTGACTTTGCCCTCGGACAGCAACTTGCTGGCGACAGGCCAGAACTTTTCCGCAAATTCCTTGTCTTCAGGCTTTGCAGGCCAAGGCTGATTGCCAAAGGTGAATTCCTCGCCCACGACGGTGTACGCCAATGTCCAACGGTCCTTGACGTTCTCTCGGTCGATACCGACGGCAAGTAGCGCACTATAGTCGCCACCCTTTGTCGAAAGCGAAGCATCGCAGAACTTGGCACTGGATTCGAGGGAGATGGTATCAAAGGCAAGCTGAAGAGAGTCCTTGGTGTATTCCCGAATGCTGGCAGCAGCATCGGGGGCATTATAATCCACAACGTGGTGGGCTCCAAGTGACTTTACATAGTCAAAATTGCGCGGAGAGCAGGTCGTGATGACATGGTAACCAGACAGCTTGGCGAACTGGATGGCGAGGGTGCCAGTGGCGGTGGAACCTCCATAAATCAGGATGGGCGTGGCCGTGTCGATGGGCTTGTCGGGCCAAGCCAGCTGCAGGCTTTGATACAGGCCCTGGCCGACCGTGTAAATACCGACTCCAAGCGTAGAGGCCTCTTGGAAGCTCAGCCCCTTCGGAATATGGCCCTGAAGATCAGCCTTGGCCACAATGTACTCGGCAAAGGCTCCATCTTCTGGCTGGACGGCGTTGCCACCGTGGACAAATCCGCAGACCCGATCGCCCTTTTTGAACTTTGTGACATTCTTGCCAACGGCTTCAACGGTTCCAGAGTAGTCACATCCTATCAGGCAACCCGGTGGTGCGAGGAATTTGATGTGCTTCCAATCCGTGGGGTTCAAAGCGACGCAGACAGTCTTGATGAGCACATAGTCGTCTCGCAGACTAGGAATAGGCCGGTCAGTGACGAGGCCCTCCTGGTGAGGAGAAGTGACGATAATTGCTTTCTGGGTTGACATGGTCAACTGCAGTATGATTCTTTTTCTTAAAAAGATAGAAAATAGAGTTGACAATCGCAACGTTCTTGGTTGGGCGTGAAAGACATCTTGATAATATATACGGATCACATCGTGGGCAATATCGCATTATCCTTTATTCCAGGTGGATATGTCGGCAGACGCAAGCGCAGAGCTAGAATCTAGCAGAATTTAAAACCACAGATTAGTGACAGTGGATACCTTTTGGCTCGTGATTTGTTCTGGAAGTCATAGACCGTGACGTAGCGTATTTAATCAGGGCTAATTTTTCGCCGGTCCTCGGGTTGAGCCGCTCGATTTCCGACTGCAGATTACAAATGCAAGCCCACTTGCGGCTGCCGGCAGACGAGGAAAAGAAAAATGAAGAGTTCACCAATTCAAACTAGGTTACCCGCTTACTCATCGATCTTTTCATGAACGACCTTTGGCTTCAGGCCGGTATATGCATCTGCCGTCTGGCGTAAACGTTGAAGATGCATGCGATGCGCTGCTGTCCCATGCGTTGGATACTACCTCTGTCAGTGCAATACCAATAAAAAACATGATCAATTTTGATTTCGTTTCACCAAGGCCAGTGCCAGTACCGCTGCCCATCTCGGACTTTGTCCGGACATACATGGGCAAATCCCACCGGCCTTCATGGCCCTCGTCTATCATTGTCACTATCACTGAACGAATAAGTCGCGTCCGAATCCGTTTGGAACCCCGTTGTCGATTCCGACTGCTCACTAGAATCGACGTCATTGGACTGGTGGCGTTGTTGATGCTTGTCCTGTGATTCTGGAGGGCTCGGTGTGAGCTGGCGAGCTTGATCCTGTGAAGCTCCATTTTTGGAGGCACGATGGACCTTTTTACCCGTCGTGCCCTCTTCCTTGCTCAAGTCGGAGAGCTTGATTCGAGCGAGCTTCAGCGAAAGCTTGTCGTGCTGAACATTCAGTGTCAGCTCGCCTTGCAGGCCGAATCGTTTCATATCGTCTTGCCACAATAGATCCCTGGACTTCTCAGCAGATGTGTCCCAACCGGCACACACCTCTGCCTCCATCATTCGACACGCCGCTGCCCTGTTGCGTGGAGCAATCATTTTGCCGTCACTGATGACTTGTAAAAAGTCAACAAGTTTATCAGTCCTGCGCAGGATGACGTACTTGACATGCTCCCAACGCCGTGTTTCGGCAATGCTTGCTTTCGAGTCGTACTTTGGCCATTGGCAGAGCAAGACAAATGCCACATGATTGGCGCCATTCTTGACAGTGATTTCAAAGACTCCAACATCGTATCGATTTGGCAGGAATGTCTTCGTGTATGAATTCCAACAGATTTCGGGATATGCTGCTGTTATCTCAACGCGGGGCCCGGGGTCGATGAGAAGGGAGTCGTCCACCGCCTTGCGAAGCTTGGCCGATTCCTTGTCCTCCAAGTATTTCCTGCACTGAATGTTTTCTCGACCAGGGATTCGGCCAGGGATTCTCTGTTTTTCTCCGCCATACAACAGGATCTCCCAGGGCTGCGGGTTCATCTCATGCTCGGCTGGTTTGTCAATAAAGGTCAGTCCAAGAACATCTGGACGTGATCGAACATATCCATTTTCGGTCTTGGTCAAAGCAATCCATACAGCGCCGTCATCGTCCCGTTTTCCCACGCGCAGCCAAAGACCATGTTCTGGGCTCGAGAATAGTACGGTGCCGTAAAGGTGGATCTCTTGGCTGATCACGGATATTCTCCTAATCTCGTGATGCATGCCCCTGCTCAATTCACCGGATCGGGCAAATTCTGACGGTTTCAGGGCGAGAAGGCCGCGGAAGTCTTGGTTGGCGTCTGATGGTTCGGAAACACAATCTGCTGTCCAAGCCCATATTGAGAAATCAGAAGTAGTTTTACATATTTCCTCCTGCAATCTGATGAAGGCCTTGTCGCCCTCGCCATATAGGAGTGGCATGTTGATATCAAAAAGACCCAAAAGGCAATATGCAATATCCTCTTCCTTTGTGGTTTCCCGCTTAGCAGCCCAGGACAATTTCTGTGCTACCCGGAAGTGGGTGGGCCCCCGTCGATATACTCGATGGTCAATGCCTGTGAAAGATTCAATTTGCATTGCCAGGCTCTTTCGCTTCTCGTAAAAGTCCCACTCCTTGTCGTAGAAGTGGAATTTCTTCGGTGCAATGAGCTCTTGCAAAGTCCAACCTCTGCTCCACCACCGACAGCGCTGGAAAGCTTTGTTGTCCATGGTGGAAGACTGTGGTGAGAGGTCTGAAAGGTACGCATAACAGATGGCGGAATCTTTGTACCACTGGAACATGGAGTTGATGGCTTCCGATAACTCGGTACTACTTCTCTTGTCTATGCAGCAACTAGGTAGTTGTGAATGAACTCAGCCAAAATCCACGTGAATGTGTCAGAGGGAGAAGGGATTGCATACGTATCAACCCAAGCCCACTTCAGATTGGCTTTGCGTGCCAATCTTATGGTCTGCTCAATCTTGGCGTAACCCTTCTTCGTCTTTGCCAAGTCGAGCTGACCCGTAAAGTCCTGGAAGCTGACCTCGTCGTCCTCCCACGTGTGAGAGAGAATGGCATATTCGCCCTTGGGACAAGTGGCATGAACGTCGAGCTTGTATGTTTCGACATTGATGAGCCGCATTGTGGAGATACTGTAGACCCAAGTAAAGATGACTGAGCAAAGATATTCTCAAAGGTGAAAATGTCGCAGGCCCCGAATATTCCGTTGATATTTCACCCTCTCTACCCCGCATGGTGAGGCTGAGGTTTGACGGCGCTGAACGTTGTCAGATCGCCGTCAGAGGGCGGAAATACCCATCTGGGGTACCTGTTACACGTGTGTGGGGGAGAAAATACCTATCTAGGTACTAGAGAGACACCCACATTGGGCGCCCCGCCCGAAACCATATTGGGGCGGTGTATGAGTTTGTGTGTACATTGACTTGGGTATCAAGACACAACCTTTCGTATTATGCCAAGCATAAGATTTCTTTCACACCAGAATCGAGTAATCCTTGCACCAGGTACATGGCTTGCATACAAACAATCAACAGCGTAGCGAAATGGTCCCATAACAGCCATGTAATGACAAGGGTGAATGTATGCAGCTTGAATCGTCAAAATGGTAATTTTGATGCCGGTTCGAAAACGATTGTCGCAAGTCAATTAAAAGTTGCAGCGCATAAAACACCAAACGTCTTGTATCCAGAGACTGTCCCTTGCTCTCGTTCAATAATTCTATTATTGCACAGACTCTCACCTGAGCCAATATGTGAAAGGGAAGCTGAAGACGAGACGCTCGAGGGAGCATTGAAAGATGTCTGAGTGAACTTCTAGTCTACAAAAGAGAGAAGCTAAGGAGCAAACTAGATTCTACGATCAATAAAAGAGAGGCGACGCCGACGTAGTCAGTATCCACCGCAGATCACCCGCTCGGGTATATAGTTCAGACACCTTTCCCTGCTGCTGGTTTGGCCACAACGCTTACGATAGCTTAAGTCAGCCCTTGAGGCTTTGATGCAACTTGAAAAGCCACATGAAATAAACAAAAGAGACATCCCACGACGACCATAATATATATTGCAAAGATGATCGGACACAGAGTCGCATAACAAACGTATTACTCAATGGTACACACGGTATCTGTTCCTAGGTTCTCCCATCTTTTGCAGTCAGCGGTGGTGAGAGACTTTGTGACAATACTACATTGACCTAGTCGGACAAAGGTGTTTGAAGACTTTGAAGTAGATTTTAAAATCATGTACCACGTCACTGCTCCTGATTCGCTTTGACTCTTTCCCATTTCCAAAAGAACGAATCGTGAAAGAGTACGCCATTTACGCCAATGACTTCCACTATCGAGGTGGAGATGATTAAATCGCCCGGGGACTGGGTTCCTCAGCCTAAAGGTTGCATGTGGGCTAATAAACCATGTCGATCCTTCCTCCTTTTCCAGAGCAAAAGAGAATTTCCATAACCGTCCTTGAAGGACTAAACGACTGCCAGTGACTATACCATACGAGTTGTCTGCCGCGTACTGACACTCTGCTTCTCGTACTTCGACATGAGAGTCAAAGTCATTAACATACCCGGACACAGTTCGACCCTGTGATCCGCTCGCCCAAGACCAGCTTGGGTTCTTCGTGGCCGTTGGCTGGATCTGGGCCCGGGAACCGTCGGTCGGATGAAGCACAATCCAAAGTAAATCACTGACCAAAGTGCCAGACCAGAGACCGCTGAGGTACTTCTCGCTCCTTCTGAATTGGTGAATGTACTCGGCAACACCAGCAAATGCTGGTAGTCGGTCGCTCTCTGCCGTGATGTTGAGATCAGTATAGGCACCAACCAGCAGCCACCAGGTCTGGGAAGGATTGCGGTGCAAGCTATCATCATTGTGACCTTTGTCCGTGGAGCGAGGAAGGATATGCTTGTGCTTGCTGTTTGATGTGGCATCACCCAGCGACGCGTCATCTCTTCCGCACCCGCAGGATACTCGCTCGAAACACTGAAATGCCATTTCCCCTGGCGCAAAGAGGAGCGTCCTTGGAGATATGAGCCGCTCCTGATAGCACCAGGCACGCTGAAGCAGCGGGAGGATGCCCGGCAGCTCCTGATTTTCCCAGTTATAATAATTATCGTGTAGCGCTTGGCGCACGTATAATGGCCACGTTGTCTCTGGGCTTCCATCATAACAAAGGTTGGCAATGTGCTTGGCAGGGACCTGGTTGTGTTGCAACGAGTACAGTCCCGCGCTCGAGTCAGCACCAAAGGCGGCCACAAGTGTCACGTATGCATTGCCGTAGACTTGGAACATGCGGCCCGATTCCTGACGCCAGTCCTCCTCGTCTCCTTGGATGATGCACACGCTGTCGATCCACAGATAGTCTATACCCATCGATCGTGACCATTTGATCGCGTCTTGAAAGGTCAGTGGTAGGGACGACCATGGTATTCCGGCTTGCCTCTGTGGCAATGTAGCTTTGGTGGTGAGACATGCGGGCTTGAGTTTCCCCCAACAGTAGCTCAGAGCACAATACCGGGACCCCCGAGGCACAGATGATCCGTCCCGGAGAACAACGTCACCATCCACATTTTGTGGGCGCACATCGATCAGGCGCGTAGGAGCAAACGAGCTTGGAGGAATCCGGCACCGAGTATGAGATTGACAGCATTGCTCAATCTCAGCCTTTGACCATTCCAAGGCTTGTGATGTCGACGTGTTATCTGGCGGTCTCCTAACACCTTGAGGCAGCCACTCGGGCGGCGGCGTGCCTCTGTCGTCATTTACCGCAAAAATATCCAGGGAGATGACATCTCCGAATTCAAGGGATTCCTCAAACTGGATGCTACAGCCATCTTCATCAATCCAGATTATATCTCTGGGGCCTAGCTTCACGCCCGCGGCTTCTACCGCGAGCTGGAGGATTCGACATCGGATGCAGCTCTCCTGTGACTGCTGTGTCATGAATGGAGGCTGTAATACATTTTCGTCTCCGCCCCATGGAAAGAGCTTTGCTGATTGTCGGTTCCAATGGCATCGCGGGCAAGGGTTAGAGTTTTGGTCTGCAGAAAGGGGCACGGGGCTCTCAGGCCCACGCGCCTTTGCATATTGCTGCGTGGTGGAATCATTATGTCCCGGTACCCACTCGCTTGGGACAATTATTTCTGGCACTGCCTTTGTAAGCGAATGTTGCGGCGCCGACATGTTGAGCTTGAACAGCGAATAAATGATCAAATACCGAATTTTATCTTACAGATATGACCTGTGTGGGGATTTTGAAGATGTCGAGGGGCTGGTGGACCACGCGAATCGTAATCTGCCCAATCAACAACAGTCTTGGTCATCATCGAACGGAGAGGCTGAAGTAGAGCCCCATGTTTACATGGGCCTGCACCAGCGTCAGCGTTGTCGCAAAAGTAACAAGATACTGCAGGCTTGCTGCTGTTTATATCGCACCATACCACTGCACTAGCTGAACAAAATGTGAAGCTCCACACTAGGAACTAGCCTAATAGTGGTTATGGATACGTATAACAGTTTAATATGATACCGTAGCGGTCGATTAAACCGGACTCTCTGCACAGTTTGCATCGTGACACCGCGAAAAAAGACGTATTTTCCAATCTTGATCTATCCAGCGTCCAAAAGAACTAGCCACATTTATCCTTATCATTTTTTCTCAACATAATGCGACGGAGTTTCCACCCCTCTTGGCTCAGATATCCTATAGTCCCAATAGGCCATACAGAATTGGCAAGCCCAACTTGTAGCCAATTCCCAGAAATTACGGTTCTTAGTATACTGTAAGTATGCATCATTAACGAAAGTACAAGGCCAAGTTTCCCATGCATGGGCCTTGAGATTATCAGTCTCAATCATCTTGCCATTATATCAGGAACTCTAGAAATAGGATACAACAAAGTTACAAGCCACAACGGACAACAGAATGATATACCCGACTACAGAATTCCTTCAACCATCGAACACAAAGAAGAGAGTATGACTACGACACTGTCCTGGTGTCCTGAGTCAACACTATGGTACCCCTTGCACGGGTGCATATTCGTACCCGTGCCCGCATTGATTGGATCTTTGAGTGGCGTTGACTAGGTTCCCCGCAAATGTTCTATGTAGCGCACATAAGCACTAAGCAGAAGCGCATCACTTATAAAAGGTGCCAAGAAAGTCCACAGATTTAGGATGACAAGTGTTCTTTGAATAAAAGAAATACCACCCCATACCTAGTACGCATCGATAGACATGGATTCATGTGTAAGCACGAATCACTAAACCAGACTCCTTGAACATATGGATAACACCGTCAGTGTGCACAAATTGCAGTCGTGCTGGGCGATCTGGTTCACCTACCCGGAACTGGTCTTTATAATGCGACCGAGACGAGCTACTGGTCCACGCAAGAGGCGGTGCTCGTGCCTGGATGCGTTGTTCTTCCCCAAACAAGCACAGACGTAGCAGATTTCATCTCCACCGTCTCTCGCATTACAAATTGCAGCTTTGCTATCAAGACTCAGGGTCATGCCCCAGCTGCCGGAGCCGCCAATATCAATGGCGGGCCGACGCTGGACTTGTCGTGGCTGAATTTTACCGATATTTCAGCTGACTTTTCAACTGCACGTGTTGGTGCCGGGTCGTCTTGGAGCAATGTGTACGACACGCTTCAACCATACAACAAGACCGTCACTGGGGGTCGAAATGGGGCAGTGGGGGTGGGAGGGCTGACTATAGGCGGTGGCATATCGTACTACTCGCCACAAGTCGGGTGGACATGCGACACTGTAGTAAACTTTGAGGTTTGTTCCAGTGAATTTAAGCCAATGTATTTTCGGTAGTCGCTAAGCCTGCTCACAGGTCGTACTCTCTTCAGGAGACATTGTCAACGCGAACTCAACGTCAAATCCCGATCTCTATCGTGCTCTAAAGGGTGGCGGCAACAACTTTGGCGTGGTAACGGCCATCGACTTCTACACCATCGATGCGGTACCGCTGCGAGCTGGTCACTTGTTCCAGAGTCAAGACTATGCAGAACAAATCCTCAGAGCTTTCGCCAGGATCGCGTCTGCAAATGACTATGACGTCCATGCATCAATTGTCACAAGTTTCATTTTCAATCAAACGACGCGCGAATGGACAATCGTTAGCGTGCCAATCTATACACTGCCAGAGATGGAGCCGGAAGTGTACAAGGAATTGTTTGCGATCCCAAACATCACGGAGTTGACTACAGCGACAATCGAAAGTATCAGTACTCTGGCTACTGAAGCTCCGTATGCCCAGAAGTAGGTTTCGCATCCCACAAAACTGCACAAAGTAATCTTGAGCCAAGCTCATTAGTCTCTCCAGGTATCAGGCTTTTTTCACAAGTACATATGCCGCGGACGGCGATCTACTCGTTGCGCTCTTTAGCATTGCAAACGAGAGCCTCGGATGTGACTCGTATCCCGCCGATGTGAGTATTAGCATGACGTTTGAGCCTCTTCCAACGATCATGACTCGGCACGGTGAAAAGAAAAATTCACTTGGTACATCTCCATCTGATGGAAATGGTGTCATTCTGCTCATCTCGGTATCTTGGAGTAATTCTGCCTCCACATTGAGTGCAGAGCGTATTGGTCGCGAACTGATATACAAGCTCGACGATGCGGCATGCACTGTGGATAAATTGCGCAAGTTCAGGTACCTAAACTATGCGAGCCCTGCTCAGGATCCTTTGAAGAGCTACGGAGAAGACAACCTCGCGATGTTGAGAAATGTCAGTCGGCATTCCGATCCTCAAGGAATGTTTCAAACACGAGTTCCCGGTGGTTTTAAGCTCTGGGAAGACTCTTTAGCAAAACCCTAGATGAGCAGGAAGGTTGACCTGTGCGGTCGATAATGGAGCGATGTTACCTCTAATCGTATCTGAAACAATGGCCTATTTTCGTTTCCACCTTCTCGTCCTTCATGGCTGTCTAATAAGGACCTGGTTCATGGAAATTCCTCCTTGAGAAATTGGGTTGTGAGAACGTGTAGCGCGTGCTTTCTGTATTCAAATGAATCACGGTATCACCGACCACAGTCATGCTGAACACCAGGTGTCTTGGCGTCATAGATGATGGTTTAAATACAGAATGGAAGATAATAAACATGAGTCCGTGAACCGTAGCATTTGAGAGCTGAACGTCAGCCATATTTGTCTAAGATGGTAGGCTTGGCTCCAGTACGCATCTGTAAGGCCAGAGGCCTGTTGTTTTGTACCAGTAACCTTCGGAAATAACGGCAAGTCAAATTGAAGTGAACGAATATGTCGATCCTAGCTACGGATCTACGAGAGTGGTGATCTTCAGGTGGAATCTCTCAATCTACGTCGGCAAAGTGCCGCTATGGAGAAGTTTGTAGAGAAGAAGAGGGCGGAAATGCCGTAGTGGCTGCGGGTGTTTTGGTACTAGTACCCAGTGCAAGTGCCTAATCTGACAGTATCCAAGCGTGCTTTTCCTCCATTAAACAACGTCAAACTCGAAAGCCCACGCAGTATGGTCATCCGTCTGATAGATGGCAAAGGTAAGAGTACTATCAGTATAGTGATGCTGACGCACCAAACCACTGCACTAGCTGAACAAGATGTGAAGCTCCACACTAGGAACTAGCCTAATAGTGGTTATAGGTAGGTAAGTTAACATGAGGTAATGAACCATGCCAATATTCGAGTGTTCCTAGAATCCTAACGATTATTCATCCTTAATCAGACCCCACATATCGAGGCAACATCATTCCACAAAGTATGCAATGCGCTTCGTCTGGAAGCTCTTTCTCAGCAAGATGGGGCAGGGTCCCTGTGTGGATCATAAATGCGGTCAGGGGGTGGACGGGGAACGAGTGTCAGGTTCTTCATAAATAACCACATCCTGGAAGATTAATCTCTTTAAAGAACACTTTTCTAATGTTTGTCATGTGATTTTCCTCATCGAAATATATTCATAGAAAGCTTTGACGGCTCCCTGGTGGTATAGCGGGTTTCCATTTGTGACAGTTCAGCCGTCAAAGCTGGAATGGCAACAATTATGGAGCACGGCCAGGTGGATCATTGGGACTAACATGACGATATTTGCAAGTCGCCTATGATACGAGTTCTCGCATAGTGGTGTTACACAGCCGCATGGGATGATTGGTTCGCTACGACGTTGGGCCGCGTCCCGATTCTCATTGGGACAGGTATCTGCAAGCTATCGTCAGCAGGATTTTCTCATCACGGAAGATCCCAAAATGAGGGGTTGATTCCATGGCTTCAGCTTCGAATTCTTACTTCATGACTGCACATCGTTCAGCAACAGCGAGACAATCAAGAAGCTCGATTCCACCCAGGCATTACCAAAGGCAAACAGTTTTCTTTCTTTCTTTTTTTTTTGCATCAGTTCGAACAAATGAGCCAGTCGCAGACGGGATTCCCGGAAGCGCAAGATGCCCAGGCGGACGAGGCTAGGCGAGCCTATCGACATGGGCTTATCGAGCGCTTCAATACAATTGACTACCAAAAACGAATGAGGCTCAATCCTGAACACGTTCCAGGTACTTTTGAATGGTTTCGCAACCACAAAGCTTTTCGAAAATGGATAGACGACGATAGCGAGCACTTGTTGCTGGTCTCTGCAGACCCCGGCTGTGGGAAATCAACTCTAAGTCGCTGCCTTGTAGAGAACATCCTTCCTCATCAAAAGCCAGACGCGACTATTGCATATTTCTTCTTCAGAGATAACGCGGAACAGGGAACTTTTGCAAATGGACTTTGCGCCATATTGCATCAGGTACTCCAACACAACCATCGAGTCGTCGACGATCTGCAAGATCAAATCAAACGCACAAGGACTGGAGTGACCAAGCCCACATCGGAATTATGGACACTCCTCACTCAAGCCGCCACGAACGCAGCTTCGAATGAGATCCTGTGCGTCTTGGATGCTCTCGACGAGTGCAAAGATGAAGACCTCCAAACCTTTGTTAAGGTCCTGTTGTCTATGAGGTCAAAGTCGGCCGACACAATAAAGTTCAAGCTGCGATTCTTGGCAACAACTCGTGGATACCCCAAAATATTGAACCAATTTTCTGAGCTCAACCCGGATTGTATACATCTCTCTGGCGATAGTACGGAAGAAAGGGACCAGATACGAAACGAGATCGAACTCGTCTTGGATCATAACCTCAAGGCATTTTCAAGAAAGAACGGCCTCAGTATCCAGAGACAAGCAACTATCCGGGATGCGCTACTGCGTCAAGGCTCAGAGCAGAAGACATATCTCTGGTCACGATTGGTCTTTGAAGTACTCGAACAAAGTTACAACAAGTTGGCTGAGTCGGAGAGGCTGATACAAAACCCACCATCATCTGTGCACCAAGTATATGAGGAGCTTCTACAATCAGTCTCAGAAGGTGATATGGGCGACGTACGGGTCCTTCTACAACTCCTCCTCGCTGCATACCGACCCCTTACACTTCAAGAGATGAATATTGCAGTCCATGTACGGGATCACATTGGTGCTAGCTCTGAGGAAGATATTGGCCTAAAATCAGATGATGATTTTAGCCAATGGCTGGCTCGTACATGTGGATCTTTCGTTACCATCCATGACGAGAAGATCTATTTGATCCACCAGACCGCAAAGGAATTCCTTATGGCACCAAAATCGAGCACCGATGTGAACACGAGGACTTGGCATCACTCTATGAATGAATACAAGGTCCATTCCACGATGGCCGAGAGCTGCATTGCTTATTTGTCTTTGCATCAGTTTCAAAACTGGCCTATACTAGCGGAAGCCTTTGCAAAGGATCCTTTTTCTGTGGTATTTGAAGCCCCCTCGTCAAATTGTGGGTTTTGGGACTACACCATAAATGAGTGGACCAGACATTTTAGGAACTGCCAAATGTCCCGAGGAAAAACTATTGCTGACATAAGCGATATCTTTGTCCCAGCTTATTTGAGCTTCTTTGACATGGGTTGGGTTGAAATATGGAGAGAAAGTGACGCCTATAAGCGCAGGTATCGGAATTACCATAATAGACGCGGGTATTTGCCTCGGCGGATGGCTGACCAGGATACCGTCAAGAGCATCGCGGTTGCATTCGATCACGCCCGTCTACTGGAACACACGATGCAAAAGAAATCAGAGCTGCAGCCCATTGACAGAGGCCAAAGACAGGACGGCCATGCCAGTCTATTGGTTGAGGCTGCCAGGGCTGGTGCTATCTGGTGTACAAAATTGATTCTGGGCTACGCCTTTGTGGTAGCTCCAAATCGAGAAGGGGACAATCCGCGAGGTATGGGCGCTGATGCGCAATGGCATCGATATGAAAAAAACCCTTTTCATGAATGGGGACTCGACGAGAGCAAACTATCCGAAATGCATTTTGACAGTCATGTCGGTGGTACCGCTCGAGGAGTCTACGACATAGCATTCCTAGCAGCATCAAGTGGAGGCTTCACAGAGATCATGCAGCTGCTTCTTAAAGAAAATGCTG